CAGCTAGGTGATGCAGTGGAAAGTCCTCTAGGCACGGATTCAGGGAGTCGTTCAGTCATGTCCAACTCTTTGTGACTCCATGTACCACAGTGCACCAAGCCATTCTATCCTCCCATCATCTCTTGGAGTCTGTCCAAGCTCATGTCCATTGCTTCCATGACACCGTCTCTCCATCTCATTCTCTGCCATCCCCTTTTCCTTTTGCCTTCAATCTTACCCAGCATCAGGGTCTTTTCCAATGAGTATGTGGTCAGAGAATTTAAGCTTCAGTAGCTGACCTTCTGATGAAGTATTGACTTTAAGTATTGACTGATTTGATCTCCTTGCTGTCCAAATGACTCTCAAAAGTCTTCACCACCACAACTCAAACACATGATTCTGCAGCTCTCAGTTTTCCTTCCAGTCTAGCTTTCACAGCCGTACATTGCTACCGAAAAACCCTAGCTCTGAATATATGGACCTTTGTCAGCAAGGCGACGTCTCCGCTTCTTGGTCTGCTGTCCAGATTTGCCCTAGATTTCCTTCCGAGGAGCAAGCATCTTCTCATTTCATGGCTGCAGTCTCTGTCTGCTGTGATCTTTGAGCCCAACGATATAAAATCTGACCCTGCTTCCATTTTTTCTCCCTCTATTTGTCAGGAAGTGATGTGACCAATTGCCAAGATCTTATTTTTTTGATGTTAAGCTTCAGGTCAGCTTTTATGCTCTCCTCTTTCACCCTCATCAAGAGGTTTCTTAATTCCTCTTCACTTTCTGCCATCAGAGAGGCATCGTCTGAATGTGTGAGGTTGTTGATATTTCTTCCAACAACCTTAATTCAGCTTTTGATTCCTCCAGCCTGGCATTTTGTATGAAGTACTCCGCATACAAGTTAAATAAATCAGGTGATGGCATACAGCCTTGTATTTCTTTTCCAATCTTAAACCAATCAGTTTTTCCATGTTTGGTTCTGTTCCTTCTTGGCTTTTCAGGAGACAAGATGATCTGACTCTGATCTCTGTGAGGACTTTCCATGTTCTGTTGTGACCCACATGGTCAAATGCTTTAGTATAGTCAATAAAGCAGGAGCAGATGTTTTTTCTGGAACTCCTGTGCTTTCTCCATAATCCAGTGAATGTTGGCAATTTGGTCTCTAGTTCCTCTGCCTCTTTGAAAACCAGCCTGTTCTTCGGGTATTTCTTAGTTCACATACTGCTAAAGCCAAGCTTACGGAGTTTTTCTAATAAATAACCTTGCTGGCGTGTGAAATGAGTGCAGTTGTTCAGTACTTTGAACATTCTTTGGCATTGCCCTTCTTTAGCACTGGGACATAAACGGATCTTTTCCAATCCAGTAAACACTGTTTAGTTTTCCAAATTTGCTGGCCTATTGAGTCCAGCATTTTAATAGCACCATCTTCTAGTAGCTTAGCTGGAATTCTATCACCTCCACTGGCTTTATTGTTAGCGATGCTTCCTACGGTCCACTTGACTTTATTCTGGATTCAGGATTCAGGAAGACCTGAGTTCAAATCCAGCCTCGGGCACTCAATAGCTGTGTGACCCTGGGCAAGTCACTTCACCTCTACTTGTCTCAGTTTCCTAATCTGCAAAATAGGAATAATTATGATACCTACCTCTCAGGGTTGTGAAGATCAAAACAGCGCTAAGTACAGTGCCTGGCACGTAGTAAATGCTATGTGAATGACAGCAGGGGCAGCTAGGTGGCTCAGTGGAAAGAGTGTCAGACCTGGAGTCAGGGAGACCTGAGTTCAAATCCAGCCTCACATACTTACTAGCTGTATGATCCTGGGCAAGTCACTGAACTCTGTTTGCCTCAGTTTCCTCATCTGTCAAATGATCTGGAGAAGAAGATGGCGAACCATTCCAGTGTCTTTGCCAAGAAAACCCCAAATGGGGTCAACAGAGAACTGGACATGACTGAAACAACTAACACAAATGTTAGCTATTATTTTTTACTGTTATTTTCCCACAGCCTCATCCAACGTTTGCCATTCTCCTTTTCTGTTGGCCTTGCCAATCTGATGTGTATGAAGCAGAACTTCAGAATTCAATTTGCATTTCTCTAATGATTAGTCATTTCAAAGGTTGGTTTTTGTTTTTGTTTGTGCTTTTTTCCGCTTATTTGGCTATAGTTAGCTTGGAGTTCTTCCTTAGAGAACTGCTTGTTCTTCTTCTTTGATCACTTTTCAACTGAGGAATGGCTTGTATTCTTATACACTTGAGAGAAAAGGAAAGAATGCATATTTTCCTCCCAGTTATATGTTTTCCTTTAAAATTTGGCTGCATTGCAAAATTTTTGCTTATGCAAAATCTTTTTTAATTTCGTGTGATTGAAATTGTCCATTTCATCTTCTTCAATCTCCTCCATCTCTGGTTTGGTCATGAACTCTTCCCCCTGTGCACAGATCAGCACTCTCATTTTACAGATGAGGAAACTGAGGCCAGAGATATTAAAGTAACCTGCCTAAGATTACAAAGTAGTATTGTTAGAGGCAGGATTTGAACTCAGGTCCTCAACTCTGGAGCCCGTGTTCTTCAGGCATAAACACACAGAGTCCCAAAGAACATTTCCTGGCTTCAGACTTTCAAGCTCGACACCCAGCACCTCCCCTCAGCCTGCCGCTGGCCCTGGGCTCTGCCTCTCACTGCCTTCTCATCTTTCTCTTTCACCTGGTTTTGGGTTTGCTTCTGTCCTCTGACTCCACACCTGATGGATGGCTCCTGCATCAGCACACACACCCCCCTCAACTTGTGCTCCATCCCCAAGCCCAGGGTCTCTCCTCAGTACCAAGAGCCGGCTCAGCTGCCCCAGGACAGGCCCTGACTTGACCCGGGCCCATCAGGGTGACGGAGGGCCCCTCGTCCTCGGTTCTGGTTGCAGGGCCCCCATCAGAAGGGGCCAGGGAGGGCGGCAGCCCCATCCATCTCCGAGCTTTGTTGGAACCACCCAAGATAATTGCTCCCTGCAATCTAAAAGTCGTAACTCTTGCAGGGGGAGAACGGTCTCTGTGCTTCAGAGATCAAGGTTGGCGCACATGCAGAAATACCAACGTGGAAAATATATCACCAGGGAGAGGCAGCAATTACTCCTTTTCTCCAGCACGCAGGCTGTCTGCCACTCTCCTCTCCATTAAAGAGTCTCAGATGAATTAGCTTTCTAAAAAGCCTCGGAGCACTTAAGCTGTCTCTCCCGCAAAATCAGGCCCTTCTAAAGATCTTTACCTGGGTTGCAGGGTGCCAGCAAAGGATGCCACAGCCCCCAGGGGCAGCTGCCTGGCATGAGGACCTGCATGCTCTCATCACAGAGTCAAGCTAAAAGGGAGGCCAATGCGTCTGACCTCCTCAGTTTGTAGATGAGAAAACTGGGGCCCAGAGAAATGACGTGATTTGTCCGAAGTCACTCAGTGCAGATCAGGTGGGACTTGAACCCATGTTCTCAGCTCCAGAGCCCGGCACCACACTGTCTTCTGGGTGGGTGCTGCTGGACAAAAGTCTTGCAAATGGATGGGAGAGGGCATCAGCAGGTCAGACCCATGGTCAGCATGAGGAGAAGGCAGGGGGATGGGTGGGAGGCATGTGCCACAGTGCCAGTCCACATGAGGCAGCAGGTCCCTGGGCTTCAGGCAGAGGAAGCAGGACAGCTAGGGCCAGTCTCAGGAGGCAGGGAGGCTGGCACTGCATCCCCTGGCCTTGTGAGTGAACCTTTAGGAAGTTGCACTTCCTGGGGACAGGCACTAACTGCCCAGCTGTCCTGTCGGGGAGACATGAGCCCCATCTCTGGTGCAGAGAACAGCAGATCATAGGGCGGGGGAAACCAAATTGCAGGCAGGGAACAGAAACTCCATTACTGTGACTGTCCCAGAAAGCCCAGAACCTCTCAACAGGTCATGAGCTCATCCCAGGGACCCCCAACCTGAAAGCCTCATCAAGGGCCACTGGATGTTGGAAATGTGAGAATGCTGTTTTCCATTATTGCGGGTGGGAAACAAGGCTCCTCCTATTCCCAACCTCCCCGGCAGTCTAAGGCCAGTCTGCAAGGGGGCTGCACCAGGCTGGACTCTGAGTGAGTGTGTACCTGCATTGCAGAGTCACAGATGAGCATCTTCTGGTCTGCTCCTTTCCAAAGATGGAGAGAACCGAGAGTCTGACAAGCTAGAGAAGGTCCAGGGGAAGGCAGCGAGGCTGGGAAGGGCCTGGAGTCCACGTGGCAGGATTCTTTGAGGGACCTGCAGGTGTTTAACTGGGAGAAGACAGGGATTGGGGGGAGGGTCCTCAAGTATTTGGAGGGCTGTCATCTCCAGGGGGTTGAGCCTCCTTCTCCTTGGCCCCACTGGCAGAATGATGGGTGGAAATGTCAAAGAGACAAATCTGGGGTCAGGAAATATTTCCTGACTCTTAGAGCTGCCCCCGGAGGAAGGAGCTGCCTTGGGAGGGGGTCTTCACTTCCTCGGAGCACTGCAAGCTGAGGCTGGCAGACTTTCCTCTCAGGGATAGCAGCAGCCGCTGAGGTCTCTTTCAGCACTGAGACTCTCAGGCTCTGTAACAGCACATTCCCTCCCTTTCCACGGGAGGCTTTCTCCTTCTTAGGATCAAAAGGGCCACACGTTCACCAGACATTTTTCTAAACGTGTGGCCAAGAGTCCTGTGCCTGAGCAGGGATGCTTGCTCATCCACCTGGCCTAGGTCCAAGTCATGAGAAAGATGTGCCCATAGTCATTCAGGGACCTTCCTCACTTTTTAAAACCTGGGTCCCACCTCCCTTATGTCCCTATGCACGCGTGGGTGCGCACACATACAATCACACATACCACACACTCACACATACATACACATCACACACAATCACACACACTCAGACACTTCACATACTCTCTCTCTCTCTCTCTCTCTCTCTCTCTCACACACACACACACACACACACACACACACACACACACACACACACTGAGAAAGTATGGGAAGCCATAACTGTTGTCTGATCCTAACTCTGCCTTTGCAGGAGGGCCTGAACAGAGCCCTGAACAGGGCCAGAAAGATTGTCCGGCACTCACCAACCTTGGTAAGCATCTGGGCTCATACCTTTCTCTCCTGTGCCCCCTGAGCTGCCAAGGGGTCCTGCACTGAGAAGAGTCTGCTTTCGGAGCCCTGGCCAAACCCTGGGCGTCGCCTTCTCTTTTCTCTCTGGGTCACTCACTGCGTGTGACCCAGTTTGGGAGTTTGGGGGACCTGCGTTTAGATTCTACCTGGAAAACTCATGAGCCGTGATTCTTGGGCAAGTCACATAACTCTGAACCTCATTGTCCTCATCTGTACAAATAAAGGGGGGTAGGGTGGGGGTCTGACCTGATGACCTTGATGGCCCTTTCAACCCTAAATCTGTTCTAATTCCATTCAACAGCAGTAGTAAGTTATACTACTGGCCTACACTCACCTTTGGACAAAGAATGGTAATTGATATCCATGTGGCCCTTCAAGGCTTAAAAACGTTTGTTTGTGGCCTCAGGGCTGCATTGTGTTTTAAAGAGCAAATTCCAGCCAGGCACAGCCGCCCCTGCCCATAGCCCGCCCCCACCTTGGTTTGCCATTTCCCCACACCTGTCCAGGCCCCTGCTGCAGGATTTAGGCTCAGCCTGGAGACAGCAAGAGGAAGGCCTCAGCTCTCCCCAGAGTCCATCCCTTGGTCAGGGAGCATCCCCCGCTGAGGAGAAATCTGAGGTGCAGGTGGATGCTGCCCACAGGAAGGTCTACATCTCCATGTCGGCCTCATCTTCCTCGTGCTCCAAATTCCCTTCGAGACAGTGACCGGTTTGGAGCTGGGCCCGAGCCCGGGGCTGCCCATGCCCGGGGCTGCCCATGCCCGGGCCGTATATGTGCCACGGAGCCGTGGAGAGCCCCAGGGCTCTGGACCACCGTCAGCCCTCCCTCCTCAGTGGCCTCTAAGCACCTACACACACACAAAGGCAGCTGGACACGAGCTTGCGGTCTTCCCTCCCATCCCTCCCCTGCACAAAGTGATGCATTCCTATGAGGAATAAGCCAGCATGCCTTCTCTAGACGACAGCAGCAACACCACAGCTCCCATGTTCAGACCAACCCTCCTGTCACAGCGTTCCTGAATTTAATCCATGGTGGCTAGAAGTATGATGACTCTCACCTCCAGAGCCACAGAACCTCTTGGCATCAGTAACAGCCACATTTCTATAGCTTTAAGGTTGGCCAAGAGCTCTTAGGTGTGATCTCATTGGGTCCTCAGACAACCTGGGAGGGAGGTGCTATTATTACCCCATTTACAGATGAGAAAACTGAGGCAGACATAGGGGCAGTGACTTGCCCAGGGTCACAGAGCTAGTGAGAATCTGAGGGTGGATTTGAATGCAGGGCTTCCTAATTCCTGGCCCAGAGCTCTATCTTCTTTCACTCTGGATGTTTCATAAATGTTTATTGACTTGATTTAAATCCTCATTTGTAGGTAAATTGTGGGGTCTGTAAAGTGCCTCATATGTTATATGTACAGGTGCCAAGGCATTTAAACTCTCCGGCCCCCCATCTCTGGCAGCACTGGGCAAATGCCCTTGTGGATTTCATTTCCTCCTCTCTTGTGTAATTTTTAGACAGGAGAAATGTGGTTCTAGCTAAAGGTAAGGGTAGGTTTGGCCTATAAAGCTGAATGTGGGATGCAGATGCATAATTATAGTGTGGCTCTATTGTCTGGTACTTAATAGGATCAGAGGGAGGGATGATAGCCCTGTGACCATGCTAGCATGTACGAGGGGACATGACTCCTGACTGACTGAGAGAATTCTGAGCTGGGACAGAGCATGCCTGTGTGAGTGGAGAAAGGATTTGGAGGACTTTGGGACAGCAGAGAGAGACAAGCTTGGATTTCTGAACAGCAGACAGATCTCCCTGAAGCCCCAAACAAATGGGAGTTGGCTGCCAACATGTCTCTTGACTTCCAAAGCTTGCAATCATAGGGACTGCTAAGAGTAAACTGTCCTTGGGGAGATAATTTTCTCTCTTCTTTATTGAGCTAACATCCTTCTCCTAACTCAAATGAAAACCCCATTTATTCTTGTGTATTCTTTGGCCCATTCTAATGAACTCCCCCAATTTCTGTTTAATGCTTACTTTGATAAAGATTTAGTGCACTAATGACCACTCATGGTGGTCATTAGTGTAACTAGTATTGGATGGAAAGGAGTTAAGCAGGTGATAATAAGTTCCCCTTGAGAATGATGAAGGAAAATTATCTTTGTCCAAAGTATTATACCCTTGGATACCGGCCATTTGAGATAATATGGTCAATACAATACTAGCCTAATGCCACTCTTGAGACAGGCAAGAGAAGGAGCAAATGTCCAGCCACGACTGACCCTCCTCCTGCCCCCCAAACGTCAGCACTTACCGTGCCCCTTGGAAAGGGGTGGGCCAGATCTCTGATCAGATATTTATTCTTGTGACCCATAAGGCAAGCTGGCTTTATGTTAGATATATTATAAAAAGTGTACATACCTTTGCTAAGTTTTCTATGGGTTATAATTGCCTTCTCCTCCCCATCCCCTGAACTGTAGGATGAAAATTGGAAAGCAAGGTTGGACCTCCTGGGGAGAGGGGTTCAGGATGGGGAAACATGGGTGGGTTTCTAGACAGCTGGGGAAGAATCTGGAAAATCAGTGCACAGAGAGTCCTGTGCCGAGCAGCTCAGGGAAGATGCTGGGGAGATGCTAGGAGCCTTGAAGAATGAGAAGATTGGGCTCAGATCAGAGGATGGGGGCTGGCCTTCCTTGTTGGCAGAGACAAGTGGGAGTAACTCCACAGGGGCCTGAATGTGCCGGAAATATTAGGGGACATTGAGGACAGCAGCCTGAGACAGGTGGGGCGGGTAGGGCCAGGTTGTGGGCAGCCTTAAACGTCAGGGGGAAATGCCACCTGGGTCCCTGCTTGCAGCTCATGGACCAGCCAGGACCTAACCCATCCTCCTCTCCTTCTAGACCAGTCCTGGCAGCATGATGGGGATCTGTTCAATCCCTGCTTTGGCCAAGATCTGTCAGAAAATTGAATAGTAAGTATGCATCTCTATCTTCCTGAGCTCCTGTGTGTGACTTTGTTTTCAGTTCTGGCTGTTTTGGTTGGGTCTTTTCCCTAGCATCATTCAGGGTCAAAGGAACCTTCAGGATCATTCCATTCAACCCTCTTGTTTCACAGAGGGGGAGACATGCCCAGAGAGGGGGGATGTCTAGCCCACCCCAGGTCACACAGTGACTTAGACCTAGAAACAGATTCTAGTTTATGGAATCTTCACCCAGCCCATGCTCTTCTGGTTTGCAGCGAGCTTGGGAAGGGGCCGTGTTGGTCAAGGTTGGCCTTGATCATCCTCCAAACCAGAAAAAAGATTAAGCTGAGCTAGTTGGCCACCAAATCAAACATCAGCCAGCAGATGGGCTTATCTGAGGACTTACCATGTGCTCATCTGTTTCAAAGTCTTTTAAAAACCATATCTTTAAACGAGGTACTGAATTAGTGATGACCTTGTTCAGCTTGGCGTGAGAAATGCTGTACCCATTTCTGAACAAACAGGTCAGGCAAGGAAAAAAAGCCATCCATAATCAATAGCTATTTTTTTCTCTTCAAGTGCCCAGTGTGGACACAGCTTCAAGTATGTGTGTTGGGGGTGTGGTAGGACCTGGACATGGGACATAAAGAGGGTCTGTCTAAGGACCAGACCCATCCCTGTTGTTCAGTATAGAGTGTGTATCTGGGAGTGGGTCCATACTTCTGTGTGTTCATGAGGCAAATTGAAGCTTTCCTTTGCCAGACATTCAGGAGGGCTACATGACCTCTACACAGGCAGAACTTTAGGGGACACACAATATTGATGAGACAGCAAAGGAGGCCAAGGAGGGGTCAGAGAGGCAGGAGGAGAACCAGGAAAGAGCCACGTTAGGCTAGCTGTCCCACTTTCTAGAAGTCCACAGGAATGCCACATTAATTACTGGCCAATAAGCTTCTGTAATGCTTAAAGGTGTAAGAAATCCTGGATGTTTCATCTCATCTAATCCCCGTTACATGTCACTTGACTTTGGTCATAGGATGGTTTGTCCTTCTTCCATCTAACCAGCTGCCAGGATTCTCAAAAGTGCTGATTCCAAGCCCTAACATCCATCTTTGCTTCAGACCTGCCTCTTCTCCGCTGAAGCTCGGACTGACCCCCACCCCAGCTCAGACTCTTGGTAGCCCTGGAGGAGCAGGGGGAAGAGCTTATACCATATCTGAGATTCAGGACTGGATCTCAACTTTTACTTTCATACAAGCCCAAACCATCAGTGTGCATGCAGCGGCTACCCACTCCTGAACAATGACCGTGTGGTTGCAACATATATCTCTTTTTTGAAAAATCTCGTTCCTTCTGTATCCTAAAGCTCACACAGGAGGTCTTTCAAGGGCAAAGGAAAAGAAACCTTGAGGTATATGCAGGGAAATGTCTATCTGCACCCACTGTCCTCCCTTCCCTGATGCCTCACTGATCTATTTCCTCAGTCAAAACTTCCAAAATCATGTGGGGCTGTCAGGAACAGCTGCCATGGGTAAGATTAGACAATCACGGGTACAAGGCAACTAGGTGGCCCAGTGCAGAGCTCTGGACTTGCGGTCAGGAAGACATGAGTTCAAATCTGACCTTCTGGGCAAGTCATTTAACTTCTTTTTGCCTCACTTTCCTCATCTATAAAATGGGGATAATAATAATCGTTTTTGTTGTTGTTCAGCCTTTTTTTGTTTTTCTTTTTCCCAGTCAAGTCCTACCCTTCTTGACCCCATTTGGGGTTTTCTTGGCAAAGACACTGGAGTGCTTTGCCACTTCCTTCTCCAGCTCATTTTACAGATGAAAAACTAAGGCAAAAAGGGTTAAGTGATTTGTCCAGGGTCGCACAGCTAGTGTCCGAGGCCAGATTTGAATTCAGGAAGGTGGTTCCAAGCCCACTGCTCTATCCACTGCACACCTTGCTGCCCTCCCATGATTGTTGTGGGGATTAAATGAGATAACAATTACAAAGCGCCTGGCACATAGTAAGCACTACCTAAACATTAGCTGCTGCTATATCTTCCTCTTCATCATCATCATCATCATCGTCAAGAAGCCCAGAAGGGGAACTGGTTCCCGGGGAAGAGCTGCTGCTGGCAGTTCGCCCTTAATTGCATTTCTGTGTCACTCTAAGTTTTGCTAAGGAGATGTTATCTCCTCTGATCTTCACAATAAACTTTGTGAGTTAGGTGCTATTATTATCCTCACTTTTACAGGTGAGGAAACTGAGGTAGGTAGAGATTAAGTGACTAGTCCAGGGTCACTCAGCTCGTAAGTGTCTAAGGCAGACTTCGAACCCTGGACTTTGCTTCTTCAAGTCCAGCACTAAACACTGCAGCCTTAGCTGCCCCACCCTCATGGTCTGGAGTCTTGGCTCAGCCAATGAATAGGGAGCTGTGCTGCTCCCCCCTGGATTGCCCCCAAGCTGTGTCAGAGGGAGCTTGTACCGAAGATGAAATGTCTTGGGGTGCTCAGCTAAAGAGACTGAAATCTGTCCAATGAAAGCCCAGATGAAACTGCTCTGATTTCAAGAGCAGGTGGTGAAGGAGTGGGCTAAGCCAAAAGGGCGGGAATGTGCGTGTGTGTGACAGGACGGAGGGGAGACAAAGAGAGACAGGGACAGTGACAGAGAGGCGGGGGCGGGGTGGGGGGCAGAGAGACAGACAGAGACACGAGGGAAACCTCCTGCAGGGGAAGAGAAGACGCAGCCCAGGGCTGGAGCGGGAGAGGAGGGGAGCACGCCTGCGCATCACTCCTGGTTTGGGGGGTTTTATAATAAGCCTGGTGGATCCCATAAAGTGGTGAGCATCATCTTTCCATTCCCAGCCATCGATCGCCTTAGCTGTGACCAGGCCCGGAGGTGCCTTTCGGGATCTTAACAAGGCTCTCCTCTTATTGACTCCTAGCGCTCTCAGCACAACCCTGCCCTTCGAAGACGCGGATGGGGACAAGTTCAGCGTTTTCCCCGTGAGTACGAGGACACCGCTGCCCGCTAGATGTTCTCTCAGAACGTCTCTTCCTTTGCACAAATCCCCTCTCCTTAGAACAAACAGATGGGATTTACTGTACCTTAAATGTGAGGTGGATTGGGGGGATCTATGCTCTTTTAGGGCTGTCTGCACATCAGCTGGTCAGTCCATCACCATCATTTGGTAAATATCTACTAGGTGCTTTCATCATCACAACTGGCATTTATGAAGCATTTCAAGGAGTATAAAACCATTTGTAAACACCTAAACAACCAGTGAGGTCAGTCAGTACAACAGATACTGTCCCCATTTTCCAGATGAGGAAACTGAGGTAGAGGGAGATGAAATCCAGGATCATAAGTGACAGAGGTAGTATCTGAACCCAGGTCTTCCTGACCTCGAGTCCAGCCCTCAGTCCTCTCCTTCACACTGTGGCACAAACGCTCATAAAGACAACAGAATCCCAGTATTTTTAAAAGATCTCATGAAACTTTTAATAATTCTCAAAACAATTCATTCTAGCTTAAAAAATTAGCCAAGACCATTTAGTATGCTTCACAGGGGATGGAGGAGCAAAGGTCCAAAGGTTCATTCCTTTCCATCTTGCCAATGTCTTAGAATAGCAAGATGGCGAGGCCACCTGCTAAGCCAGCTTGGATCGGCTTTGCCCTTTGCCCCTCACTTCTGCTGACTCCTTCGATGATCCAATCACCAGTTCAATGTCCTTTTTTCACTAAATGGCTCTGTTGTTTGACTCAAGCAGCCTCCTTGAAGGGTTAATGGTAAAATGGTAATAAATGGTCTTGGCCTTGGATTGTATTACAGTGTAATATGAAGGTATTGAAGACCTCAGGAGAAAGATGTAGTGTAGACCCCAATACCTAATGCCATGTGGTTCTACCCCATATGACTCCCATTACAGTGAATTTGGCTAGAACTGGGTTGGCTTTGACTCAGAGACAGAAAACTCAAAGAATCCATAATAAGATGGCCAGGAGCCTTGAACCCAAGCCCTGTTAGTTTCAGTTGCAGGACCCAAGGATGATTATTTTGGAGAAGAGAAGGCTCAGGGGGCCAGGACAGCTGGGTGAAAGTGCCTTCTGAAGGAATATCATGAGGAAGAAGGACAGCGGCAGCACCAGGAGCAGTGGGGTGGGGGGAAGCGGCCAGAAGACAGGTTCCATGTCAATGTCAAGAGAACCTGCCTAGGAATTGGAGCCATCGCAGAAAGGGTTGGGTTGCCCAGAAAGCGGGAAGTTCCCTTTCACTGACGGGTCCTCGTTCAGGTCCGCGTTGGAGTAGAAGCCTCTGAGGTCCCTTTTAGCCCCTCGACTCTGTGTCTAGGAGACAGCAATGACATCTGAGCACTTTGAGATCTAGGATGACCCTGACCTCAAATATTGGAAAAGTCACCAGAATCATCTCTGATGTTTCAGACTTTGAGAGGCTTTTACTGGAGAGGACGAGACTGCAATGACAGAAACAGGAACATCTATCCAGGCCGACGGTAACATTCCCAATTGCCCAGAGGTTTTTGAAAATCATCTCCTACAAAGATGGGCTCCTTCCAAGCTCTACGCCTACTCATTCAGTCTCATTTGCAGCAAGAAGGGCCCAATGTGCATCCCCTGGGGGGGGAGGGGGGAGAAAGCTAGCTGCACAAATTAGTTACTTATGTCACTGAAGGGATTTGGGCTTTAGAGTTCAGTTGTCCTTAGGTGCAACATCTGCCGTGGGGCCTAGAAGGGCACCCACCTGGCCCCGGGGAAGAGCGCAGATGGCTCAGTCCATCCAGTCTCTATCAAGTTCACCAGAACAAGGAGACATTGCACTTGGCTCTAATTGGGCTTTGTCTGCCTGGCTCTCAAACATAGATTCAGAGCTGGGATGGACCTGAGGAACCCTTCGGTCCACTGCCCTCATTTTGGAGATAAGGAGACTGAGGTACAGAGAGATTGGGTGATTTTCTCAGAGTCCAGCCAGTTGAGTTATTTCTTTTAAATTGACCAGACATTGTGGAGCCCTATATGGGCCACTTCAAGGGAGCTGTAGGATCCAGCCAACATTAGCAGACTAACACATGGCTGTTCTGTGTATCATGTCTGCAGGGGGGCAGGGGCAGAGGTCTTCAAAATATGAGTGACTCGTGGTAGTCATTGGCATTAATCACAAAGGCGGCTGGAATCACTGGGCTGGCCACGCCACCGCTCACATCATCCATCTGGTGTTCAGAGTCAGGACTGTGTGTGTGTGCCATGTTGCGGGCGTCAGTGGTCCACAGCTTCCACAAATATTTATATTTTAAAAAAAAAGCTAACGGGGCCTATTTCTTTGGGAAAGTCTTGATTTTCCTTTTTGGGTAACAAGTATCCGTTTTGTTTTTCCTCTTCAGCCCGGAGAATTGGGATGTACAACAGGATTCCAACTGTAATGGCATTTGGGTAAGTCACAGAAATGCAATCCTGACCCCCCTTCTGAATTTGCTGTCCCTTACAAAGAACCTTGTTCTCTGCACTATCTAATTCAATTCAGGCTGTTTTCACGTGCCAAGCACTGTACTAAGCTCTGGGGATTTCAGGACAAAGAATGAAGCAATCCCTGCCCTCAAATTGCTGTTTAGTGAGGGGGAAACATGACAGAGAGGTCAACATGTGAGTGAAACAACAACAAAATCGAAATACTTTCAGGGAGACACCAACAAACTGGAGACTATGGAACAGCGTCTTGACAGAAGTAGTACTTGAGCTGAGCCTGGAAAGGAACTAGGAGTCTCAAGAGACAGAAGTAAGGAAAGCCTTCCAGGCATGTGGGGAACAGCCTGTGCAAAGCCCTGGAGGTGGTAGATGGAATGTTAACATGGAGACCAACCAGTTTGGCTGGAGCATAGAGTGCAGGAGAGGAAGTAATGGAAATGTGAAGTCTACAAAGATATGTTGGAGCCCCAGGATTATTGGTTTGAAGGTTCAAGTGGAGAAGCTTGCATTTTCTCCTGGAGGCAACAGAGCCACTGAAGTTTCCTGAGAAGAGAAGTCATGATAGATCAGACCTGTGTTGTAGGAATGTCGGGTATTTGACATCTGTGGAGTGGAGACAGGAGCTGGAAGCAGGGATGTGGGCTTTGCTGATTGGACAAAGTGGGGTCATCCGAGGACCCTCTCTTCTGGGACTCTGGAGGAGTAAGCTGTGGACTTCTGAAGGCAGAGCTGGCACCTGGGCAGTAGGGGCAAGACCTGGCTAAAATGGAATGGAAGCTCTTCGAGGGCACTTTCATTTTTGTCCTTGCTACCCCAGGGCTTGGCACACAGTAGGTACTCATGTAATCATTGCTTCTTGGGTTTGTCATTGAATTAAAGGCTCAGTGTAAATTTTCATGGAAGGAGGCTTTTATGCCCTATTTCCTTTCCATAAGTTATCAGCAAAACAAAGACGAAGTAAGCGATTGAGGCATGGAATTCCAGGGGTCAAATGGCTGGCCAAACCCCTGCTGCCACCTCTCTTAGCCCTGTTTTTCACAGTTCTGCATCCCAGCCAGCCTACCCAACAGCCAGAGCACCACACTCTCCTCTGGGGTCCACAGGTGGCCACCCAAGCCTTCCCAACAGGTAACTGGACAGAAAGCTAGAAGGAGACAGAACACTCCAGAAGACCTGGATGCATCCGTGGTGTGAATTTGTACCCAGGGCTCTGGACTCACAGGTCTAGGCTCTAGTGGGGACAGTCTGTGTTCATAGCCACCAGCAGTCTGCATTCAATGCCTCCCTCCCACATACTCAGCTCTCCCCTGGCCTAAAATAAACCCAGTTGCTGCTGCCATCCCTCTGCCGCCCACCACAAGGTCATTGACTCATTTGTTGACTTCTTCTATCTCTCTACCTCAGGGGTGGATAAAAAGGCCCAATCCTATTACTGAGCCCTTCAGCAGGACTTCAGAGATCTCCCCCAGAGGGACGTTAATAAATGAATCAACACTCTTTGGGCAGAGATATTCAAACAGCGACATTATCTACTTGGCACTTATCAGATAACTGCCCTCAGCGGTTAGCCTGAATCATAAAAAGTGCCAAACATCTTGCTAAAGTCACAATCCCTCCTAACGACGGCATTTGCCTGATCTACCAACCAACACATCTGTGCGACAAGGAAGTCAGTTGGAATTATATCTGATCTATTCTTAACACACACTGGCTCCCATGGATCCCCCGAGAAGAGGCAGTGCTGTGCACTAGGAAGGACACTGGCCTTCTGGGGTTTAAACCCCAGCCCTGCCCCTTAAACACCAGTGTGACCATGGACAAGTCATTCATCTTCTCTGGGCTTCAGTTTCCTCATCTGTAAAATGAGAGAACCTAAGGCTCCTTCCAGTCTTGACCCTGAGAGCTTTCTTTTCTAAGTAATTCCAATTCAACAAATGATTACTAAACACACATGATATGCCATGACAAGCACATGGGGTAAAAAGGGAGAAGTGAAGCAGTCAGTCCCTGCCTTCGAAGAGCTTCCGTTCAGCCGGGAGACCAGTTGACCCATACTTTCTAAAGCTTAGCCAGAGAACACCACCAGCCTCACTAGGCATCAATTCACCAAGTCCACCTTCCTACTCAGGATGACACTTTCCCAGCTCTGCTCTCCTGGTGCTCTGCCCATTCTTCACCATCTCTCATGAATGGCCAACAGCAGGGGCTTCTTATAGTGTCCTGGGGTGCAATTCCTCTGGGCCTGGACAATGGATGGTTTCTTACAAAATGCTCTCTTATCCTGGGTTTTAACATCCTTTTCAAGTAGGAAAATTGTTCTCCTTGGTGAAGAAGGAAAGAAAAAAACAAAATATTAGCCACTCTTTTTCTGTCATCTGCTAACAACTCACCAATCTGTCTACACAGTGATGGTATCTCGAGCTTATTGGTAGTAAACCAGCAGTTACTTGCGCTTGGCATTGTTCACCAGCCAAAGCTCATTCTGGCCCTGGGTCTCCCTGAAAATACGGTTCAGGGTCAGTTCAGACTCTTGTGCAGTTCTTTTGTGACATGCCTCTGTCTATACTTTTGCATGAACTCTCTACAGAGCTGAGCTCAACAAAGAGCTCCTTTGGTGGTCACATCAATTTGTTAGATACTTTTCCTTTGCTCCCCTCACTGGAAACTTTTTCTAATGCTCATGTAGCACCTTCTCTGGAGCTAAACTCCCAACCCCCACCTGAAATAGCAGCAGGATCTAGCAATAGAAATAGGGGTGGGTGTCAACTACTCCCCTCAAGGCTCTGAGCCCAACCCTAAAGGGGTTAGGGGTTATTTTCTAATGCTGTAGTTCATGAGACCCCTCATGTGCTCCTCCCATCCCATGATCATCAGCTGATGTGAATTGGTTAGCCAGACTTAATTAGCTTAATTAGAATGGGTATTTACTGGGATGATATAGTAAGAACAGTTGGTACAAATATCCTTCTTGCCCCCTCCCCCAAATAAATCTGTGACCCACTCTTCTAGGAGAAGATAGGCTCATGCTTAAACAGCACATGTAGCAAAAGGGTAACTAATGACTTTTGGTCACTAAAGTCTTTTTTCCCTTGAGTATTCATGGAGCTTCCCTCAGGTGTGGTGTTGACTTCTGCTGAGCTCTTTACAAAATCCTGAAGCTGTCTTTGTCTTGGCCTGTCTAGTTTGTCCTTGGCTCCCATAGCAGACATGGCCACCAGCTACTGCTGATCTGGTACTCTGCCAGGGCATCAGTGAGACGGTCCAAAACCTCTGACCTCCCAAAGTTCACAAAGTTGTGTCTGGCCAAGAGTGAGGGGGAGGGGAGGAGGCTGAGAAGTAAGGGCTTTCCTGCTCTCCCTCCACGAAAGTCGTTCCTTCTCAGGGGCTGGTGGGAACAACTCTTCTCTCCCTCCCCTGCCCAGGGTTCTCCTCAAATACTGAGCTTCTGCATTAGCTTGCTACATTATACAAGGCCCAAATGGTGTGGCCAAGTCTCACCCAATTGAAATACACTTCCTGTGCCACATGACTCCACTTCATCCAGTGGGTTTCAAGGATTTCTAAATGGATCAAGTACTTTTTTCTCTATAAAGACTTTGAATGAATGACTCATTCAATAGAGATGCCTTGGGCATGTTCATACCTAGTTCACAATTCTGATTGATTATATCTAAGGAGATGTTTTACCTGATAACTATTTTGGCAGCAACTTTAAGTGGGGTGGGGTTAGTTGATTGATTGACTCAATGCCTACCCTAACACTGATAACAATGGACAAGATTATTTTATATGCTGTTATATCAGGTCTATATAGTTAGATCTGATCTGACCCATATCTGAACATGGATACAAAGTGTCATGGTGGGATACTACTATACTTTATTTGGGGATTTCATGCTTATTAATCTGCCATTTGAAAAGTATTTATTTCATTTCATCAATTCACAAATATCTCCTGATCTCCTGATTTCTCCCTTGACAGGGTGTAGATCCTAAGGATGGCATCCCGTATGAGAAGAAATTCTGTGAAGGTACATCTTTCTCCCTAATATCTCATGTAACCTCAGTCTAAGGGCTAGGATTCTCTCCTTATTGGTGAAGATCAATGGTCCCACCTGTGTGAAGGGCAGGGAGGAGCTGGCAAGAGTGGGAGAGAGGAGAGCTCTTCCTTATTGCTTTGGGTGCAGCTGGCATCCAGCTTTGAGAGGGAAGACAGATGAAGCCAAACCCACTTGGGGTTGCTGAAGGAAACAATTCAGAGAAGACATGCTGGGGACCTTGAAGTCTGAAGGAGGAAGAACATGAGGGCAGGGTTTCCTTTAAGTATATCCATAGGTCCAGTTCAGCAGCCAATTAAAAGTGTCACTATGGCCAGTAGGAAACAGAGGCTATCTGTGCCTGCTCTGAAGCGAGGGAAAGGGCCCCTCTGTGCTGCAACCCCAATGGGGCATGCTGCATGTACAAACTAAATACGAGGTGAAGGGGTGGGTGTTAATTGTGGGAATCAGGAAAAGAAGGCGATTGAAGGAGAGGGTGCTTAAATTGAGCCTCAGAGAGTTAGGAATTCCTGAGGGACGGTGAAAGACGGAGAGGATGCCTGGCTTGGGAGCCACAGCCATGCCAAGTTAGGGTGGGGAGACAAGGTGTCATCCAGAAGGAACAGCCAAAAAGCCGTTTTACCTCAAGTGCAGAGCGGCGGGCAGTGGGGTGGTGGGTAATTCCGAAGGGTCGTCATCTGCAATCATTCTGGAAAGATCATCTGGAGTCCGACCCAGAAGGCTTTTCAGTGCCAAACAGAAGAGCCTGTGCTTATTCTAGAGGTGAAAAGGGGCCGAAGAGGCTTAGGGAGCTGGGGAGCACCACGGTCAGAACTGGGCTTGAGGAGGATGGCTTTGGTGACGGGGTGTAGGGTGGAGTAGATGGGGGAGAGCCTGGAGCCTGGGGAGTAGAAGGCTCCTGCAATAGTCCACACTAGAGGTGACAAGGCCCTGAAATAGGGCAGTGCTTGTCTGAACAGACCATGGAGATCAATGAGAGACTCTACCGAGGGGAAATTGACAGGAACTGGCACCATATTGGATTGGGGGGAGGGAGGGGAAAATGGAGGATGACCTCAAGGTCACAATCTGGGGTTCCTTGAGGCACGGCAGCACCCTTGGCAGAAACAAGGGCAAGGTTCAGAGGCTAATGAGCTCAGCTTTGCACTTGGGCAGCCTAGGGAAGGTCCGGTGGCAACGTCAGGCAGGCAGTTGTGATGTGGGCCGGGAGCCCAGGCTAGACCCGAGGGCTGGAAAGCCGGGAAGTGTAGGCAACAGAGAAGGTAATTGTCTCTGTGGGAACTGATGAGGTCAGAGAGAAGGTGTGGAGAGAAGAGAAGAAAGCCCAGGACAGGGCAGAGCTTTGGCCACATCTATGCCCAAGTCCCTCCAGGAACCACATTTCAGCTGGCAAGAATGTGGCCTACGGTGGGGACGTTCCCTAGCCCGGGAGTGTCGATCCGCATTTCTTGCGCACATCCTTCCTTGTCCCCAAGGGGCTGTCCGCCTCTCCAAGGTCGACCCAGGTCAGATCTGACACGACGCCAGGGCTCCTGGCCTATCAGCCACCTGGCGCCCTCCCCAGGACAGCACCAGGTCCCAGGGTTAAAAGGGACAGGAGAAAACTAAATTAGATCAAATTAAATTGTGAAAAGAATGCTGCTCCAGGACAGCTGAGGAAGCTGCCTCTCGCTCCCTCAGCCGGGAGCTGGAACAGGCAGATTTCCCCTGCATAATTCAGGTCTTTGCAGGGATCGCTGTGCCCAGAAAGTGCCCCAGGGGAGTGTGATGCCCGGGCATCTGCCTCCACAGGAAGGGGCCCTTCTTTCTCAAACAAACAGCCCATTTCCAAGGCTGAGTGGCGGGGCAGAATTCTGGGTTCAGACAGACTCAGTTTCCTCCTGCATGAAGGAAGAGGGCAGGACTAGGCTAGTCAGCCTCTAAGAGCCCCCCTCCCCGCCCCATCACGAACAGCAGCTGGGATGTGAGAGAGCCTCCCTCAGTCATGAGGGTGGGGGAGGGCCCCCACGCACCTGGAGGATCGGACCCCAGCTCTGGAGCTGGACGGGTCTGAGAGGCAGGGAAGGAAATGAAGTGATTCATCCAAGGTCACATCAGTAGGGTCAGAGGTGATTTGGAACCCAGATCCTCTGGCCACCCTACTCCCAGGCCATGTGCCCTGTGTTTGTTTTGTCTCCTTCTGGGCTCCAGATCCTAAAACTCTCCCAGCTTCAGAAAGGGGCCGTGTGCCCTGCTCTAGCCCTGGCCGTACTGGGGAGCTTTCTTGCTGCCCGGTCTGGAGACCCCACATGCCCAGAGCGTGGAGCTAACACAAACAAATTGTCCTTCCTAGGTTCAGAAGCCAAGGGTCTCATTGTGCTGGGGGACTCCGCCGCAGCCCATTTCCACATACCTCCAGAGTGGCTGATAGCAGAGCACATGTCTGCGGTGAGTACCATCTGAGGGGGTTAGCCATCAGGCTGCCAGTCTCCCCCTGTGCACACTCTGGTAACCTGGGGCCTGGAGAAATACTCCTGCTGCCCGTTCCTGCCAATCAATCAATAAACATTTATTTAATTTTTTTTAAATTTATTTAATTTATTTATTTATTATTTAATTTATTTAATTTTTTTTTAACGTTTAGGCAATGCTTTTTAATGTTTAGACTTGCCCAGGGTCACACAGCTAGTAAGTGTCAAGTGTTTGGTCTGAGGCCAGATTAGAACTCAGGTCCTCCTGACTCCAGGACCAGCGCTCTATCCACTGCACCACCTAGCTGCCCCTCAATAAACATTCATTAAGAGCTTACCATGTGCCAGGCGCTCTGCTGAGTGCTGAGGATACACAAAGAGGCAAAAGCCAATCCCTCCAAGGGCCTAAGCCCTGGGCCTGGACTTCGGAGACCCAAGGGCAGGTCCTGGTTCTTGCACTTCTCACCGTTGGGCCCTAGGAGCAGGCAAACCTCTTCTGTTTCTTCATCTAGAAAGCAGAATATTTATGTTTTGTAAACTCCTCATTGTTCAATCATGCCCAACTCTCCATGACCCCATTTGGGGTTTCCTTGGCAAAGACACTGTTGTGCTTTGTCATTTCCTTCTCCAGCTCATTCTACAGATGAGGAAATTGAATCAAACAGGGTTAAGTGACTTGCTCAAGGTCACAGAGCTAGTCAGATTTGAGGTCAGATTTGAACTCAGGTCTTCCTGACTCCAAGGCCAGCACTCTGCACTATGGCACCCCCTAGTTGCTAAAGAAAGGGGTAATCTTAGTACTCTTGTCGTGGTTATTGCTGATACGGATCATTCAATTCCCAATGAGTCTATGAGCTCAGTGGTGCAGGGTCCCCCTCAATAGGGCAGATCCCATGCCATCCCACACTCCCCCACTGCACAAATCTCATTCCCATCCTCAGACACATCCTCAGGAAAAGGGTTGACTCCATGTATGAGTGTCTTGAGACCTTTTAACATCTCCCTGTCACCTGTCAAGTGTGCCTCAACTTGCCCCGAGTCCTTTTAGTGAATCAAAGCAAACTTGTTTGTGCAGGAAGAGTGAAAGGAAAGCTCTCATCAGAGCAGAGCCAGTCCCTAACTTTCTCAGCCCCGATGACTCAGGAGTGAGCCCTCCCTCTTGGGTCCCCAGCCCCGCCTCCGAGGCCAGCAAGCCCAGTGTGCAGGTTCTCTATCGAGTGGTCATCCAGACCCACCTCGAAGAGCTTGGGGGAGCAGAGATTGCCACCTCTACACCCCGTCCCTTCCACTCTGGGCCAGCCCTCCTGAGGAGGTCAGTGGCCTCTGCCACCAGCTCCCATGGCTTCCCCAACAACAGCCCTTTGGAGACTTGAAGCCAGAGGACTCGTGTCCCCTAAGCTGAGCCTTCACAGTGCCTTCGAACAAGCCTCACATGACAGGGACACAGGACCCTTTACCTTCCTTGTTGCCTCTGTCTGGATGGTTTTCTCCCAGATCTGCAGACCCTCCTCACAATGCAGCTTTTCCAATGCCTGCAGATGTGTCTCTGTTCTCCTGAGCCTTCTCTTCAACGTCCCCTAATCTGCCATTTTCTGCTTTTTCGTCCTCAAAGAGTCTCAGAGCTGGAAGGGACTGTGGCTGAATGAGAATCCACTCATAACACAAGGGATAATCTAGGCTTTGCCTGATGGCCTTTGCCTCCACGTAACCCCATTCCACTTAGCTGGGGCTGCGATTCAGTGAGGCCTCCAGAGGATGAATGGGAGCCTCTGGGAGCTGACTTCTCAGCAGTAACAAACCATGGAGATGAGCCGTGCTGAAGCCCCCCAGAGGCTATCATTTATCAATATCAACGGAACCCCGATCCAACTGGCAGGTCACTGGACCATGGGGCTGAGCCTGTGTTTATAGTTCTCAGGTTCCCAAATCCAGAACTCCAAGGTCACCTCCAGATAGAAGACCCCAAAGACTCTTCCCACCTGGGGAGGGCCGGGATGCTTATTCCAGGAAAGAGACAGGGGCCCCCTTTGGCCATCCTCTTCTCCTTTTCTTATCCCAAGTTCAGCTCCCTTCACCTTTTGGGGGATCCAGGAGCTGGATCGCGCGCCGCCTGGCTCTCTCTGAGGCACAGCAGAGACCATTCCTGGAGAGCAGGCGCTGTCCATGTCCTGCTGTCTTTGTCAGGCCCAATGCAAATATTCAACATCAGCAGTTATTGGCCCCACCTCTGAACAGCTGACAGATGGAAGGGCTGCTGAGGAATGTCAGGAACCAAGAACACTGTAGGATAAGGCTCTAGACTTGGAGTCACCAAGATCTGAATTCACATCCCACCTCAGGTACCCACTACTGGTATGCAAGTCACAACCTCTCTGTGCCTCTGTTTCTGCGACTATAAAATAAAGGAGCTGTCCTGGGCTCTCAGAACCTTCCATCTCTGCATCTATGATCCTAAGGCCTGGGTTCCAATCCCTTCTCTGACACTTCTCTCGGCGGCCACGCACTCACGGAGCTTCGGTTTCCCTAGAATGTAAAATGCTGGTAGTCATAGCACCTGCCTCACACAGCTGCTGAAAGATTAAATGAGAAAAGGACTCATGTGTACAAAAATATTTATAGCAAGTCCTTTTGTCATGGCAGAGACTTGCAAACAGTGGGGTATCCGTCGATCGGGGACAGCTGCACCAATTACAGCACATGAAGGCGATAGAATAGGGTCGTGTCATAAGAAATGATGAAAAGGATGATTTCCAAGAAACCTGGGGAGCCGTGCAGAAGCAGAGAAGGATGAAGTGAACAGAACCAAGAGGACCATCTGTACAATAACGAGGCTATCAGAAAGACAAACTGCTTGGAGGAGCTCGGCAACATGTGTCAACACAGCGACCGCCCCGGTCCGGGGGACTCACAGCAAAAACGCGCGCCCCTCTCCTAGGAGCAGGAGGGCACCCGCGGGGACCGACGGAGACGAGTCCTGCAGACAGTTTTTGTTTCTCTTGACTGTTCATGTTTGTGACTGGGTTTTTGTTTTTCTTTCTTCCTCGGGGGTGGCAGAGACATAGGGAGGAGAGGAAAGGGATTTTCATTCATTGAAAAACGTTTTGATTTTTTAGAAAAGGATTAAATGAGAGAATGAATGTGAGCCCTTTTCGGGATTTGCTTTCTGCCTTTGTGCTCCCAGTGCCCTACAGTGCCTGCACAGAGTGGATGCTTAAGAAATGCTTGCTGATTGATCGAATACTAAAGTGCTTTGCAAACTTGAAAGGGTTATGTAAATGTCACGTGTAATGATTACCCCTTGGGGTCAAACTCAACCAAAGTCTCACCTAATTAGTCAAGGGGCAGCAATGCCGACCATGGCAGTGGCCATGGCAGTGACGTCAATGTCACTTCGGTCTTTGTGATAATCACTCATCTGTTTCGAATCACTGGTGGTCAGGATCCTTATCTTTCTTTCATCCCAGCTCCAGTTCATGGAGAGGCCTAGGCCTGCCACATTTGTCTCATGGTCTTTGAAAAAAATTGATAATAGGCGTAAAATTGGAAGGCTGAAACATTGGCTGGCATTACCTCTTTCCGTCAATAGAAGCTCTAGGGGCACCAGCCTTGCTCATGCCCAGAGTGATGCCAGACTGGTGAGATGGTGGGCTGAGGTCAGGGAAGGTCCTTGAATCAATTCTGAGTCATCAACGCTAAAGCAATAGAGCAGTAAAAGCCCTGAGGTTACAAGAGATGTCTGGATTTTACATGTCCCTCTCTCCAGGAGAATGGAAAGATTAGAAGATGGCTTTGGGGAGTTGTCTGCTTGAGCAGGGATTGTCTCTGCGACCCCAGCTGGCGGCTCATTTTGAACTGGCAGGTGTTTAGGGGCAGTAAGGAGAACCGTGTTATTAGTGGCAGGTCCCAGAGGATTCATGAACAGCTTTCCACACTTGCAGCATCCTGGATAATTGCATCCACACTGCCACATAAAGCGGTCAGCAGAACTCCCCCAATGTGCTGGCCAGATGGACGCACTTTCTGAAGGGTCTCTGAACCCCCATTTGCCTGTTTCCTCCTGAGGCTCCTCTCCCTTCCTCCCATGCAGGTTGTGGGAGGAAGGATTCAACACAACCCCAAGACCAGGACTGACCAAAAGCAGTGGCCGCTATGGGCCAGTCCTGGAGAGGGGAGTCTTTGTGGGCTGCCAAGTTTCCGTCTCACTCAGAGATTCTGCGAGCTGTTGGGTCCCTTAGGGCAGGATGGGTAGACACTGCAAATAGGTACATTTGGGCCTATGGTGAGGAAAAACTTCCAGACACTCCCAGCTGTGCCAAAGCGGGTGGCTGCCTCTCTCAGGAGGTAGGGAGCAGCTGAGAACGCACAGGAGGTCTCAGTCAGAAGCCAGATGGTGCAGAAGGGGATCTTACTCAATGATCTCACTGCCATGGTCAATCATGTCACTGCCATAGTCAACGATGTTACTACTGTGGTCAGTGATGTCACTGCCATGGATCTTATTCAGGTGGGTGGGACAGGTGGCCTCTAAGGGCTCTTCCATCTCTGAGGTAGCTCTGGGCGAGTTCTGCCTTGGTCTCACACAACTTGGGAAATGTGAGGAGCCCTAGAGCTGGACACAGCCCACCCAACAGAATCCAAGCCAGCCACTCTGAAATCAGAGCCCCTGCCTCAGATACTTACTGTCTGTGTGGTGCTGGATAAGCCTTACCACCTTTCTGAGTCTCAATTTACTCATCTGTAAAGGGAGGGAGTTGGGTTTGCCAGGAGCCCTCCAGATCCTGCAATGTTGCCCTGGTGCTCCAGGAGCCACGGGGCTGTCAGAGTGACTCCTGGGACAGGGACCACCTCCTCAATAACTACTCTGGGAGCTGGGGACCCAGAGGGAGGACTCAGGCCCCTACCAGGAGTCAGAGACAGGTCCTCTGCCTAAGACCTTGCCCTCTCTCATTTCTTCTCTCCCAACTCGACCAGCTGGTA